GTCCGGACCATGTTAGACTAGACAGCCTGAAAAACAAACAAACAAACAAACCCTCCTGTTACCTCCCTACAGCCTGCTAGTGGCACCAGCGCCGTTACACTGGACCTGTTCTATGTCCCTCATCCAGGTTGTCTTCTCCTGACCAGATCCTTGCTGGTGTTGGATCTGCTCTCAGATGGACACCGCTCTGGATAAAAGCTGCTGATGAAACTGTAGAATAACGATGACAGTGCGTTGTTTCTGAGTCACACTTTATGCCCGTTCTCATTCAGCATTTTAAAACACCATTTGGACATCAATGTATATTTAATCATTTGTTATTTTTGCTAAAAATAGAATTGCTGCTAAATCCAGAATTCTAAAAAATAAAGTCTGGGCTCAACAAGAAGGTCATCTTCTGACAGAAATGTTCAGTCAACAAAGTGCAGTGAGTCCACTTCTCCTTTCATTCAAAGGTATTTTATTATTCAATGAGTTTAGAACGTCATGAGCTTCATGAAAAGTTTAGAAGTCATAAAAATGATGATGTTCAAGTCCTAGCATCAGTTATTCAAAGTTATATGTACCTACCATGAATGTGATCACAAGTTTTTAAGCTGCTGTGTGAAAGATTTTCTCCAAATAAATCACGATGGAGTTGATGCAGCATTATGATCACATGGCGGCCTTCTGCTCTGTCCTGCGTTTGTTTCCGTGGCCTGGCGGTCAGGAGGCCGCAGACGCTGCATGTCACTAATACTCTGCTTCAGTGCAAAGCCCTGCTACAGCCTGTCTCTCTGTTTCCGTCTGTCTGTCTGTCTCTCTGTCTCTCTGCATGCCTTCCTGGATGAACAGCTGCTATAATCGTCACCCAGCTCACTACGCCGTACATTCGCATCGCTCCGGCCGCTGGAGACAAGCAGCTCACAGGTCAGACCGAACGCACAGCAGCAGACACTCAGACCTCCACAGCAGCCGCTATGAGCTGTCATTCAGCCTCTGCAGCGTCCTGCAGGGCGTCATGGACGTTCTGCTTCTTCACAGACCATCATGTCATCAGTAGGGGTCGAAACACGCGTGTTTCATGTGTTCACATGTGACTGAGCTCCGGCTCTGAGAAGGACTCTGGACTGCACTGTGATTAGACCCAAACTCAGAAACATTCAAACCAGCTGAGAAACGGGTTGTACGGAGGTCTGAAATGGGCCAAAACCAGGCTACAGGCAGGTGTGAATCAGGTCAGAACATGAAGCAGCCGGTGGAGCACGCTGTCGGGATGCTGTGCAGCTTTGTGTGAAATAACAAACATTTAAAGTCCAAGACGTCCGTCACTGAACAGATGGGACACTTACATTTAAATATTTACCAGCCTGAAGGTGGTACACACACACACACACACACACACACACACACACACACACACAGAGTCAGACTGGCTGAAGCCTCGAAGCACAAAAAAGCTTCACTTTCACATAAAAACAGCTTCTCTAAGGCCTGCTGTGACACAGACAACACACACACACACACACACACACACTGTGTGTGTTCAAAGCGGTGTTTTCGAGCCTTTACAGCCTTTAAACTGAGAACAGCGGCTCACTGCCTCCGAGGGCTGAAGCTCCGAGTGTGTCAGAGAGAAAGAGATGAAACAGATGCAGCAGTTGAGTCAGTCTGACCTTGAAGAGATGAAATGAAAACAGAAACTAAAGGAAACCAGTTCAGAAACGGCTGAACTGGTCTGCCTGGTTTCACCCAGGTTCTGCTGTGGATCCCTTCTGGTCCTGTTTTACTTTAGATGTAGAACTGCATTGATCCCAGTTCTTGTGTCATGTTGGTCTTTCTGTCTTTGTGAGGACGCTCACAGCCTCAC